ATCGACAGCTTTCAGTCGGACAACTCTCTAGTCAGAAAAAGTTGATCGGAAGCGCTCTGAACACGTTTGTATTTTATATCTGTACTGTTATTTGTTATCTACCAAGGTTTATCTCATTAACACTCACGGATACTAGCACATACAAGAAGACAGCTTGGATCTTGACGGATACCTTGATATTTTTGAACTCAGCTATAAATCCTCTTTTGTATTGCTGGCGTCTACCTGATCTCCGTGCTGCAGTTGTTAGAGTATGGAGGGAATTTTTCGGCATGCAAAATTAAGGGAAAGACACTCATAGCAGTTCTGCTTTGGATGCAATCAAAAAGTATTCTTCGTTTTGACTAGTTCAGTCTTCATATTTTATAACATACAATTTAAGAATATGTTCGTGCTTAGTGTGCGTATATCGAGTTATGGATGCACGCAGGAGGTTTGGGGCACGAAAAATGCAACTAAAAATGTAACTACATTTATTTGAGCGTTATTATCCTCGATGTTACGGTTCTGAATGCTTAAGGTCCTCATTGTCTATAAATTACATACCTATTTACCGAATTTTTAAATACTTTCTTTTTAAGTACTTTATCCGTAACGGGTGTTTCATCTTTATGTATAGTCATCCATTCTTGTTCCCTCAGCTCCGCATCAGTTGGTGCAGTGTATATCCTTATAAGGTGACTCGAAATATGAGCTGATAACTGGGACTGAGTGAACGAATCAGAACGTTAGAAACGCAATATTCCATGTTGAAAATTTAATGATAGTGATTTTTTTCTGTCACAAGGAAATAGTCAATTCGTTTAATCCTCAAACAGATAAGAGCATTACATTTAAAATTAAATATTTACGTAAGAGACATCTATCTGTCGAGAGAAAACTTCGCAAGACTGCCTACCTTATAATGTAATATTTGAAACTGAAATTTCAGTGAACATATTCCATTGTGCGAAAACAAACTTTGTTAAGATAGAGGAAATTATTGCTCATTGCTGTGAGTATATCTTGTCAAGTAAAAATTGGATTGTTTATCAAGAAAATGCTGTAGTCAGGTTACAAAACGATAAAATTAACTGATATGAAATTAACTTGTAATATTCTCCTTTTTTATATTAAAAAGTTCAGGCTGAGATTAACCAAAATTGCAAGAACTTCCTAAGGACATATCCAGGCAGAGAGTCAGTTTATTAGGAATGTCTTTATTTTGTTCATTTTTTTTTTAGGAAGAATTACAATTAAAGGCAGCAGAAATAATTCCACATCACTGGAAACAAAACATTTCGACAGGTTTTTTGGTCACATCAAAATTAATTTGCTAAAAATCATTTTAAGAACGTTTTCAGGCTCAAATCGCAAAAAAAGAAAAAGGTAAGAAAGTTTAGCCTCATCCCCAAAATGAGACGTTCTAAGAAAAAGGCTATGTTGTAACTTGATTTATTTAGTAAGTTAGTTGTTATCTTTAAAATTGTCCTTTAGGTGTTTGCCATTAAAAAGAAAGGTATATTCCCAAACTACGAATTATTTGCTGGTAAAAACTTCCAGTGAAGCATATTGTTTTAGGATTCATTATTGTCAGCCAATGTTAAGTTGAATGGTCTGTTTAAGGAACGTGAGATAGAATTAGTTCTTTTCATCAAGCTGGTGTGCGCAATAAACAGTAATTCAATGAAATGGTGGTTAATAATGGATGATATTTACCGGCCGGCAAAGAAGGAAGGTAAATATCTATTACTTTCGCAGAACACCCAAGGAAGTTTATCGTTTATTAGTATGCACCATATATACAGGTGACGCAACTAGCGGACAAAAAAAAATGGCTTTATTTGAGACTATATCCCGACATATGGTGGAAGATTCGACGTTTCGCTATCTACAGTATGGATAAGTGTAACTACCTAAAGTTAGTTACAATTAGAGTTCCCAAGTGTTTTCTCTTCTACTGGGCTTTATTCATGTCTTCGAAAAATGCAGCAAAACAGATATTTCATTTTCAATTTTATTTCCCTTTTATTTTGTCACTGGCACAATTCATGGTGATAATTTCTGCAAGATGGTTAATTGCTCTTGGCTGTTGTTTCCAAACTAATCAATCACCACGCTTAAAAAGCACGACCTTCTCTTGGGGCAATCATCCAAGAGCGAAAGCGATCCATCTTGTCAGGTGGGAGAAACACAGTGTCTCCCTTAGTTCTGAAAATCTTAGTTCCCCTGCGGCGTTCTACATAAAATTTGCCTTATCGTTTGCGTTACTGCGATTCTAAGCTCTGTTAAGCGCCAACAATATAGAACTGGATTGATAGAAGAGTTTAAAAACACAACGGTATCCGCGAGTTCCCACACTTTTGACCAGAGCTTTTTAGAAAAGAAATTCAGTGATAGAGAAACAAGCAATGGCAAATAGCACACAATGATTGCAAAGTAAAACACAAAAGTGTTCACAGCACTCCTTTGTAATCGAAGCATGCTTGTGACATTGAGATCTACGCTTTCCATTACATGTTGCTGAACTTGAATTTGTATGTGATGCTGTCGAACGACTCGAAAGATCCGATAGTAGGAGTAGGAGGAGAAAATCAAACAAATGCAAATGGAAATGGATACTCCCAGGTAAAAATAATACTTGCTCCAGAAGTAAAATCCGGATAAGAGACCTACGCCGAGCCAAATTAAGCCTGATATGTACAAAACCTTTTGAACGGTGACTACAGTAGGATATCTCATATGGTAATGCAGTGCAGCGAATCTATCCACACTCACAGCTGTTACTGTACAGAGCGAAACACCACAGAGGGCAAATTCCATGATTTCGACGAGGCGGGATCTGTTAAAAATATCTAACTGTTTAGCAATGTAAAGAGGCTGTACCACAAGTGCGACAAGCAAGTCTGATAGAGCCAAACTGCAAAGCAAGACGGTAGTTGATGAACGAAGCGAAGGAGTTGCTAAAATGGTTCCAAAAACTAAAGCGTTTCCGATAATGGAACTCAGCATTAACGGAGCATTTAAGATTCCGTTAATAAAAGCAAACGTGTTGGGATTTCCACTTCCTTCAAATGTTGATGTCTCGTTCTTCGCTGGTATATTGGTCGAATTCATAGTTGGCAAGTATTTTTAAATATCGAACTTCACAAAGTCGTTTCAGTAATTTTATAGAATGAAACCCATCTTGTCTCACGAATTTCAATCTGTGTCTTGAAAACTTTCCAATTTCAGAGAATTTGGCCCAGTGTGGCAAATATCATGTTTATATGCGGAAAGCAATTAATCTTCTATATACGAAAATCATGACATGTAAATAACACTGGCCTATTTTATTCAGGCGAAGATCTTCAATTATCATAAATTGCAGCTCGCAGCTATCTTTATCTTTAATAACATTTGCCTGTCAGAAAACAAAACGTAGCTCAAAGGTCTATGGATGAATTCTATTTAAGCTTCTGTTTTAATCACAGGAAATAAATTAACACTCGAGCTTAGATTTCGCGTCCAAGTCACTCGCTTTAAAAGTTTTTAAAAATCATAAGGGACTTGTTTGCCTAACGCCTCCACTGTTTAATCATTTCTCATTGAGGTTTAATCTACGACAAAATATAATTGCCAACAAAAACAAAGGAATAGGTCTGCAGGCAATCTTGCACCCGTCAAGTTATTGTTTAAAACCCATTAAGAAAGGTGCCAAATTTGTCGGTAGTCACCTAATCGGCTAACATATGCTCTTAGGAACTGCCAAACGAAATGGTAATATTGTTTGTGAAAGGAGTTAGCACAGATATCTTCTTCTTCATTGAATATTACTTTGCGTTATATAGCTAGGTATTCAGTAACCGTATCTCATTTAAAAAATACGTACCTTTTCTGCAAAGTTTAACGACTGTTGTGATAAAGACAAGTCATTTAAATTAATATCTTCTTTCTGAGGAAATTAAAGGTAAATATAAACGTCATTATATTTGATAAGCATAAATTTCTTGCGCAATTGAATTCAATCACAGGCGGCCCAAGCTCCAGCTGTGAGATGATCATCTTGCGCAATAACAGTCATGGCGGAATTATAAGAGTTTGTATGGGAATATTTACGACCGCTCTAAGGAATAAAAAAATACGTCAAATTCTCAATAAAAATACTTCACCTTACTTCCACAGTGTATCACTTGTTATCTGACCGCTTAATTTGATGAACAGAGCCCATTTAAGCGAGTTGTTCATTTCGAGGTTTTCAACGTACATAAGATGTACGTTGAAAACCTCGAAATGAACAACTCGCTCAAATGGGCTCTTTTCATCAAAGTAAGCGGTCAGATAACAAGCAATACGCTGTGGAAGTAAGGTGAGGTATTTTTTTTTGAGAATTTGACGTATTTTTTTATTCCTTAGAGCGGTCGTAAATATTCCCATACAAACTCTTATAATTCCGCCATGACTGTTATTGCGCAAGATGATCATCTCACAGCTGGAGCTTGGGCCGCCTGTGATTCAATATGGTTTCAGTTAGAGGCAGCTCACTGGCGCTGCGCTACGGGCGGTGCAACCCATATGATTGATTCCTGCGAGCGAAGCGAGTAAAGGCGAGCATGTATGACCTCTCAAAGACCTCCCGCACGCTCCCTTCGCTCACCGGGTGAAACAGGCCCACGGGTTTCAACATTCGCGCAACACCAAAAAAAGACTCTCATGCTATTTAAGGCCAAGCAGTGATATCGTCAAGCCAAAAACATTCGAATGGCGCACATCAAGGCTTTGAAAGTTCCACCTTTGAATAATTTTGAAGTAACATGATAATGTTTAATTACGAAGAAGAAGAACATTTGAGTAACAGTAAGGGCAATTTGAGGTACAAGAGGCGGATATTATGCATATAGGAAGATTATAAACTTGAGTGATTATTGTGAAACATTAATGTTCCATGGTGCGTACATAATATTAAAATACAATATTTTGGATGATTTACTTGACGTATACATAAACCAGAAATACTCAATTTTAACAGCGTTCAAGTAATTGTTAAATTTTATTCTCATGATTTTAAAATTCAAGGCAAAAAACCTAAAGTATAGGCAGCTTCATTCAAGAAAATAATTTCAAACTTTGTCTAAGAAAGAAAAAGTTAAAACGTCTTTTAGCTTTGATGTGAATGGGTCAGCCTTGTTAAGTAATACTAAGACGGAAATGAAGGAAAGGAATTGGGAACTGGTTTTACCCAAGTCAAGGTAAGTTTTAAATGACGTTTACGTTTATTTCATTTTTTTAATAATTTTGTTTATCAATACAAATAAATATTCAAATCCTAGATAGAAGATGCATGGACAAATTGCAATGGACAAATACCTACTTTACGGTTTGCTTTACTAATTACAAAGGCTTATATCAATTCAGCTTGGTCAGTGAGATTTGGGAAAACATCAAATTGGTTCCACCTTTTTTTTGAAAAGTCAGTGTCGCACATCTAAATATTATAGACTACAACACTTCTCTCAGTTGAAGAGGCAAACCACAAAAGGAGGGTATTTCAAGTTAAAGACAAAAGACATCTGTTGTGTACCAATGTATGCTAAGAAAACTCTCTAAAGATGATCTTTCATTATCAGCCGCATAGTGAAGTTTGGTCTTATTCTTTAACATCTCCGTGCTGCACTCGTCCCAATTCTATTTTCAATGTTGGTTCAAGCTAACACAAACGTCTGACAGTTTGTTTCTAGATCAAATAAAGTGTTTTTAGCCTCGGGGTAGAGTGCCTAAAACACCAACTGTTGTGTTCATGAATTAACAAACAGAAAGATAAGATTAAGAAATTCCTAGATTTTTCAAAGAGATTATTTGATACACGCGTTAAGAACTCATTTTCTCCTTTTTTTCTTTTCCTTTATTTTCATTTATTTATTTTTGAGTCTGTAGAATTAACTGCTCTTTGTTCATTATATGTTAAATCGAAACCGCTCAATTGATTCAAATCGTGTCTGTACTTATCTACATATTCATCACATGCTCTTGATTGTCGTCTCTAATGACCAACCTCCTAACAGTCTGGATAACTACTTCCCGGAGATCGCACAAACGCCAACAATACAGAAATGGATATATGGCCGAATTCATGAATATCAAAGTTGTAGCAAAGTTCCATTCTTCCGACCAAGGCTGGTGTGAGATGCCATGGAGAGTTAATAAAATGTACATTGGAAGATAGCACATGACCAAGATTACAGAAAAAAACGAAAGTGTTTACAAAGCTCTTTTTCAGCCGCAGCATTCGCATGTCCCTGGCGGTTCTAGTAGAAGGCGCTTGCATGGCGCCTAGCTGAGCATGAATCTGCTGCTGATGTTTCCGAACAACCACAAAAATGTAGATATATGAAAATGTAGAAATTATCAGACAGGTTCCTGTCACAATAGTGATCATAAGGTGATACGCAAAACTGCTCCAAAAGAAGAAAAGCGACGACAGAAAGTTTCCAAGCCAAATGATAGCTATGGCTGAATTGATTCGCGATTTCGTCATTACAGCGGCGTATTGCATATGGAGGTGTAAAGCCAAAAATCGATCCACACTTATGGCCGTGATGATCAACAAAGAAACTCCGCAAAATGAATATGCAACTGTGTCCCAAAAGATGTCCAAGCAACGGTCTCTGGTAAGTTCCTTAGCAATATATAGCGGTTGTGTAATAAGACCCACAAGAAAGTCAGAAAAAAACAGATTTGACAGTATCTTCATCGATGTTGTTCGAATGCAAGGTGTCCTTATAACAGCAGTCAATACCAAACCGTTGCCCAGGATGGATATGAGAAGCAGCGCAGCATTGATAATGCAGTTTATAATGACAATGTTTTTAAAGCCGGACTGGCCGTCTTGTGAATGGCTGTGGATTTTGCAAACATCGCCATAGCTCATCTTACCGATAAATCGTGAATCCTTCGTGAGAAAGAGCGTCGTGAATCCAAGCCACAGAACCTACCCAATGTATTCTGAATCGAACAAAGTCATGATAAATTGATGAGCTATCTCACGTAATAAGAAATATATTTATTCTAGGGTGCAGCTGGATTTTCACATTTTAATAAGTGTTCCTTCAATTATGCATTTCCAATGTTGCAAACCGAGGGAAATTCAGAATATTTTAAACGATTTATTTTTTTGGCAAATTTACCATGTTTGCAATACAGCTTGAACGAAAAGTAAAAGATTGAATCACATTTCCACTTGTTGAAATTTGTTGAAATATATTGATTTTGGTCCATTCGTGCCGGAAAATGATTACTCGATCGGACACGCAATACTTTTTTGAAAACAAAGATCTGGAAACGTGTGTACATACCTTGCAAAATGTTACTCAACGGAGAGTCGCTTATTCATAAGGCATTTTCGATAAATGAACTGCAGGGGAAACTCTAAAGTATCCGTTTTATGTGGACATGTTTATTCTAGCTTTAGGACATGAGCCACGGTATGAAAATTGAGACCAAAAAATATTGAGGTTTTTTTGCAAAACAATAGCACATTGTCAAAGGTGGAGAAAAACAACAAGCCAAGTATCCAATATTTAACACAATTGGGATCTGCCGGAGAGATAATC